GAGTGTCAATATCCCCTGACATAAACCCGCTAGACAACGAGCTCGTGGCTCAATTCTTAGGGCGTTTGACTTTGATCAACAAAGGTCGCGCGAGTTCGAGACTCGAGTGGGGCACCACTTGGGTCTGCGTATGGCCAGCTGGCTGACGATGGCTAGAAAGCCAGAAATGGCCATTCCAGTCTTCCCTGTCTTTGCCGGCAATAAAATAACCCCCCGCTGACCCATGGAACGCATATTTCTCTTCTGAAGCGGTTCTGCCACCCTTTCCCCAGATTTTTATTCCGTGAAGTGACTACTTATTTGGATAGTGTTGCGTGCACCTAAAGGCACACCCGTCCGTGTGTTCGCGCAGTACCTGCAATTTCATTTTACGTCAGCTATTTTTGACAGCAGATTTTTGGTGTTGACAGCAGTGGGTCAGACAGGAAGAAATTACGATTCTCTCGTTTTCATGGTGAGACACGCTGCTGTTAGTCTTCCTGCTACGGCGCCAAATGGTCTGAGGGTAAATAAGCATGTCTGGGTTGAATTAGCGACACAACGGAATAACAGTTGACATCATTTGACATCGATCGCACACTTGTCACAGACGAATCTGAATTCTCGGCAGTCATATGCGGTTTTCAGTAACCTTTCACTGCTTGCAGTCATAGCGACCTTTCTATCTTCTCGCATGGTCACCACGGCATACGGATTTACCGGTATTACAGATGATCTTACGGGAGAAGGGGGGCGTGGATGGGCATATATCCGACTCCGCCAGCCTCATTCAGAATTTTTAACGCTCAGATTTTGGACTGACAACCAGCACAGGTCTTTTAAACCAACCTTTTGAATGTTATACAAAACATGTGTCCTCCAAAGACTCAAATTGCACTCATAAACTCGTGTTATAACTCAAATTACCCTTTACAATTATGTGGGTAAAAGTAAACGCATACAGAAATATACGTACAGCAAGATATCGTACATAATACGAACGTTATTTCGAATGCAAATGGTCGCTATGTTCGTGTTTAACATTTCTACTGGAAATAGGGCGATAATTTACAAAAAAATGCAGTATACGTGGATGCAGTAAGGAGAACATTAGTTTAACCGTATTCAAAATTGCATACAGGTAGCAACTTGGTGCAGTGAAAACAAAGCAAATGGCCCACAATCTCCCTTCGTATTTCACAGCACGGAAATAATCTACGCTAATGGTCCAGTAGTAGTGGACAGAGTAATTTAATTTTTTTTTTTCATAAGAATGATTTGTATTGCCGTTTTAACAGGATTAGGCAAGAGGAACCGCGCAAACTACATGCAGCTTTGCGCCAAATTCCAAGGAAATTGTGTGGTGCCCATCTCGGACAAAAAATGCACACCGACCCCAAACTTTGGCGAGCGATCCCCTACGTGTAAAACGCCTCGGAGGCCGTCGGCCACCCTCTAGCACCACTTGGAGTTGGAGACGCACACAGGCCGGAAGCAACCATAAGGCGTCAGGTAATGAAACTAAAAGACCC